AAGACTTCAGTTTTCTCAAGCATATTCACCTCGGAGTGGCCAGATCTTCTAAAAATGTGGAAAAACTGTTTGAATTTTAAAGATGATTCTAAATTTGAATCATTTTCAGATGAAAGTTTTGTTGGTGAAATTAGGTATGATTATAATCCATATAACTATACCAGATTGAATTTTGTTTCATCATTCCTTTCGATTGATTATCTTTTTTATTCCTTGTTCAAATTCTGAGGTCAATTAGATTTTCAGTCACATGAAGTATTTATCCTCATGTTATTATGATCGAGAATATAGAACTAGAAAGTGTTGAGTTTAAAATGAAAATGAATAGTAGTTATTCTTGAGTACGATTTTATAGGTATTTATTATCTCAAATACAAATGTTAGAGTAAATTGAAAAAGATATGAAAGAATGAATAATAATATCGAATTGATCTCCACATAATCTTTTTTCATTGAATTTCTAATCTACACAGAATATATGCAACCTGTTTCCGTACTTTTTTTGTGAATGAATTTTAAATTTAGTAAAACTTCAACACTAGGTGGCATTTGTCGGTATTTTTCCATTAAGGAAACGATAAATTCATTAAGTTGTCAGTCTTTATAGTGAAATACGTTTGAAAATAAAGTTTAAATCAATGAATAGAAACGCAACTGAGCTATGGATGTCATGATTCCAGCAAGATACCCACAAATTTGTTCTCTCTGATTAATTTCTGATTTTTCATTTTTTGATCTAACCACTCTGACTTATGTATTCATTTTTGCTAATAGTTTTAGAAAAAAAATTAATAGCTCCAAATAATATATATATGACACTTTAGTCCTGCTAATCGATAGTCAAATATTTTATTGTAGATATCAGATATAGCAAGCCGAATTGCTAGACAATTCGCCGGAAATATAGTTACTAGAATAGAACTTCAGTATATTAGTATTGAGCATCTTCATACAAGTATATTGTACTCAGTACCGGTACTTAAGTATATTTGTACTTAAGTAAATTGTACTCAAGTAAGGTCCCAAGTCCAGGTGTCAAGCAAAAAGTATTTGTACTTTTACTTGTTATACTTGTGCTTGTCCAATATCTGGCAGAAATAGTCTATATATTAGAATGAAACTATTGATATACAATCTTTGATCGTATATCAGCAACGTTTGTCACGATATATGATGGTCTCTGGTGGGCGTCTGTCATGGTCTCGTCCTAGTGTCTATTATAGCTTCTGTCAAGTTTTTGATGATTCAAATTTTTACTCTTATTGCTTCAATAGTTCTTTTAGATCTCTTTTTATGAAAGAAAAATGAATATTGATTTACCATCATCTTCATAGTCTTCATGTGCACCTCCATCATCATCATTATGTGTAATACTGTGATCCTAAAAGAAAGTTTTCTAATTATGTTTGTTTATATTTTTTTTTTGTTTCTTTGATCTTACATCATGATCATCGAATCGTGCACGACGAGATGATGTTGGTTCATATTGAGATGTAGTCTGTTGCTCTTCCTCGTCATCATCTTCACCTTCGATTTGAACACGTTTTGGCTATAAGAAAAAGTGTTTGTTAAAATTTAGGAAGAAAAAAGAAAAGAAAAATTTACTTTTATTCGTTTATTTGTATTTTCAGCAATTAATCTTAAATAGATATAAAAGAAAATATTTAAAAGAATTTTTTTTTAATTTTTACTGTAAATCTTCCTCATCAATATCATCATCTTCTTCTGATTCACCGGAACCTGATTGATCATTTTCATTGTCATCTTCTTCCTAGAATACAAATTATTTTATAAGATTTTTTTTTTTTTGTGTATCTTACATCCTCTCCTGGTTCAGCAATAAAACCTTGTAAATCTTTTGCAGCTTGTTCATCCATTACTTCATCTTCTTCGTCATCATCATCATCGCTCACTAATAGAAAGAAAGAAAAGATTAAACATGAAATAAATTTAAGTGGGAAATATACTTTGTCGACTTGATTTAAGTTTTTTTAAAGCAGCTGCTCGTTGTTTTTTTTCTGTATCACTTTCTTCAGCTGAATCTTCTTCTGCCTGTTCGTCAACAAATTCATTTCGATTACGTTTTTTCGGCATTTTTCTCAAATTCAAATTGAAATCAAGATAGAAGACTCTATAATAATGATGAAATACTTCTCGAGAAGAAAATATCAAAAACACTAACTTACCCGAACTATGAATTTGAATGAATCTGAAATTAAATAAAAGATACAAGGCTTTATATAGGAGAATAAGAATACGATGAATAGAGCCTACACAAAATTCATCAATCAGAATTACTTTTTTTTTTGTGACGGTTATTTACTTTTTTTTTTAGTTAGACAAGATACAATGAATTATTCTCTTGTTATTGGTTTACTATTTACGAGAAAGATTTCAATAGATGTCGTTCTTATACGAGTGATAATATCTGACGATATGACTCGCATGACAGCAAGAAATTTCCAAATACCTATCAATTGCACAAGTAGAAAGTTCTAGATTGAATAATAAATAGTTTAGAAGGATTTCTCTGACAGTATGATACTAGTGATATGTTGCAAAGGTTTATTTGTCAGCCTCGTGCTCTAGTGCGCGCTAATGCAACGTTAAGAAAACTTGTGCGAAGCGTGTGCTACAACATCCCATAGTTTAGGACATCCTGGGAGAAAAAAAAACGAATTAGCTAAGGTGAAATGCATTCACAGAGCTAAACTCGAAAGAGACGTATGACGCGCATAAACGTAGGCTATGGCGTAAGACTTACTCGCGGATCACTGGTATGTCGAGATTTATCAACTGTCTAATTTTCAGATTCTCTATTAATTATATTGGCTACTTTAACTCTCGAATGTTTTCATATTTATTATGAAGAATTGCAAGATTTTTTGTTTTTACATCAGTGCACACCAAGGAAAGTTCGAACTAGAAAGAGCATGGTGAGTAGAATTGAAATCGTTAATAAAGTTGTCGATTACATTTAGACGAAATGTGTCACTAGGAAGTGTCACAGACTCTACTACGAAAATGTAATGCATGATAAATGTTTCAGAATCTAACTGATACACATTCATTGACCGTTTTGTTTCGCACGTATAGTTACGTATAACCGATACTGTCGTATAGACTAAATTGATACATTTTCTGATGTAATTTGTTTATTTTTTTTCGAAGCGATTTGATCAAGATCGAATTAGTTTGAGATGAGTAGAATTTAAGATCTTAATCTTTCAAGTTTATAGACTAGGTGTTACTAATTTCAATTAGACTGAAAAAAAGAATTTATTATTCACTATTGCAGAAGAATTGACAAATCTGACGAAAGCTAGATTCAATTAAAAATGTGTTATAATGTATATTACATTTTGAAATGTCAAGAAAAGTCATGATGACTTTTTTTGCCGCTTATCACTATTTTTTGAGCAGAACAGGCGGATAGCGCCGTATAAAAGGCATTTTGACTGTTTTACGACTTTTTATGATAGTTTAATGGGTTGTAGTTTATGTCACAAAGTAAGACATCTGTAACACATTTAAGATTAGTGTTTGATCCAGTTCAGTAAACATGAGTTACTAGCTGGTCTAGAGTTTTTTAGCGTTGCAATTTTTTCACCATGAAAGTATATTTCTTCGAAAAATAAAACATGTTTCTTATAGATGTTGAAGTCTATTTCTGTGTGACAACATACATTAGAATATTCTATTACAAAAAAATAATCATAGTTGACTTAAGAAACCTTATTAAGTCATTTTCGTAGTAAGTTATGTTGTCAGAACAAAATTAAATATTCGCTTAGTAATCTAATTTATCATGGATTTATTTGAATTTTTTATGGGTTAATCAATACAGTTTATGTCTACCGATTATTCACTCAATATACAAAACTACTATCGAATTTTTAGCTCAATAAAGTTTTCTGTTAAGCAGCAGTAGATGACCATAAAGATAAAAACCACTGAAAATAAATAGTAAAAAATGCTTCAATACTCAAGCAGAAGCTCTGTATCATTACTGTACCGGTGAAGTGACAGATATGACTAGTTGAGAGATTGCTTTGACTATTAGTGGATAAGAAAAATCGAGTGGTATTAATTTGACTGAAAGAAAAAAAAACTTATATTAAGATCTCCTACCAGCTAGATGAAGACATTTTATTAGCAAAACAAAAAATAGTGAGAGACATATAATTACACCAGCAAGGGATACCAGTGTATGAAAAATATTCAAGAATAAAACTCATGACAAGACAATACACTTCTCTATGCGGATGAGTGTTTAGTGTGCATGCAAATATCTAGAAGTTGATTTGCCATCATTGATAGTTCAGAAAAACCCACTTCAATGTTAATCAAGTGATTTTGCATCATCAAAATTTCGTTTATTAAGAAAGTCTTGCTCAAAAACTGCTTCAATTCCTGTTCCATCATTCGAAACGGAAAAGCATTTTAGTTACTGTGATGTCATACTGAATAATAAGAAAGAAAGCTTATCATCAGCTCAAGGAGAATAAGTAATAGAGAATAGTTAACTTAGAGATTGTTCACATCAGAGATGGACAAAATCGCACCGCGCCTCCCTGCGCTTCCCCGCGCCGCTGCTCACGCCTACGCTACACTAGTCTGAGTTTCGATGAGCGCATACTTAGAGCATTCCGGTATTCGGTGGAGTTTGAGAAACTGATTGGTAGAGCAAAGAGAAAGAGAGACGTGCGTAGCGCCTAGGCGTGAGCAGTGGCGCGGGGAAGCGCGGGGAGGCGCGGNATAGATAAATCTAATGATTCGTAGAAAATCTTGAAAGTGTCAGATGAAAAGAATGTACTTTTGTTGAGATATTGAATTTTCAAGAACACTCAATTTTTGTAGCAAAGGACCATTTTTTTGGATATTCAATATCTCGACAAACGAATATTCTTTTCGTCTGAAATTTTCAAAGTATTCGAAGGATTATTAGACCTATTTACAGGTAAAATTTGAGATCGAAAATTCAGTAAAACGTTTAAACAATGGATAACTCCTTCATGAATAATACACAATCACATTTTCGGGCAAAAGAAAATTATTTTCGAGCGACGAAAGTTACACGTCGATTTTCCATACGTGAAAAATGCACATTTTGAAAATGTAATAAAATTCTTCTTCAATTAGTCCAGATTATATAAGACTTTTTTCCAATTAAAATTCTGTAATTTTCTTTCTCGATAAGATCTTATTTAAATACAAGAAAAAAAAAAAATTTAACGTAATATATGGTCAAAAAAAGAGATGAATATTCTTAAATAATTATCTCATAATATATGTGTGTGTGTGTTTTCTCAGCCATACAAATCATCTAGTTATCGTCCAACACCAGCTACACTGGGTTTATCGACGTCAAGTCGTCGTACGAGTAGTACTAGTCGAAGTCCTGTCAGTACAATATCCAAATCTCATCATCATTTATCATCAACAATTTCCAAACATTATACGGTGAGAATATTCAAAACACACACACACACACATACATATTTAAATAATCTCATTAATCTTTATTTAAATAATATATATATATTTTGTTTCTTTTTTTCATTATATTAGGATGATGATTATTATCATCAACAAACACGACCAACACCAATAAATAATACAAATAATAATAATACATTTGTTACAAAAATGAATGATACACAATTAAATGATGTTTCAAATCAATCACAAATATTTTTTGTTAATATGCCACAACAAGAACAAAAAAGTCACCAACAACAAGTTCTTTCAGTTTTAACCTCAGATCAACAACAACAACAACAACAAGTTCTACCTGTAACTGTTGTACAACAAGGTAAAAATTAAAAAAAAAGAAAAAGAATATTTTACAATTCTAAGCAATTACTTTCAAATTCAGATTGTAATGAATCATTACTTTTCTTTTCATCATCTTATATTATAAAATTTAAACATTCTTTATTTTATAGTTAAATTACCTGTTGATGCACCTAAACAAAAAAAAATTCTACCTAAACCATCATCAACAAATCAACAAGGAAATACATCCAATGAACAATCTTCAATAAATAATAATAAACCATTTGCATGGTCACGTCCACCAGGTCGTATAACATCAAATAATGAACAAATAATAAATAAAAATATCAATTCAACATCAATTAATACAGATTTAGATACAATGGAAGCAGCACATGTTTTAGCAACAGCAGCTGATGTAACAATGGCTGCCGATGCTCGTCGTAAAGCACAACAACATGATGATGATATGACAATGATGGTTGATGAAACACCATCAAATATAGCTGGTGAAGAAACAATACAATGTGACGATAATACAGCAAAAGCAATTGCACAACAACAACTTGGTACAATAACAGCAAATATTATTGATGAAAATGGTGTTGAACATACAGTTTTATTATCAACTGAAGAAGCACAACAATTACTTGGTTCACAGGGTGCTATTATTGTTGATAGTGGTAAAAAATAAAGCTTTTCTTGTTTTGTTTTTTTTTTTAAATAATCTATTTATGGTTATTTTATTTTTTTTCTTGTAATAAAGATGGTCAACCAATATCAATTCAACAAGCACAGCCTCAAACATTTGTTTCACCATTTGCACTTGATCAAGCTCAATTACAAGCATTACTTGTTCAAGCTGGTATTGATCCAAATACACCATTAACTATTGAACAAGTTGATCCAAATCAACAGCAACAACAACAAATAGCAACATTATGTACATCACCGGGTGGTACACAATATACTGTTTTTACACAAGGTTCAACCCAACAACAATTTATTTTACAAACAACAAATGAACCAACATTATCTTCATTACCAATTCAAACTCAAACAATAATACCAAAAGAAGATATAACAACAACAACAATGTCATCATCATCACCACCAACAAAACGTCGTGCATTTGCTGTTAAATCAACAATGCGTTCAGAAACATTTGATGATTTAAATGAAAGACCTCGACGTAAAATATTTGCTACAAAATCAACAGTTACATCAATGAGTAAGTTTCTTTTTTTTTTTTCATATTGAGAATATTTAATTTAATTTCCGTTTCAGATGATGAAATTCATGATGATGAAGAAGGTTTTATTGGTACACGAGCATATCATCGAAATACGAGTCGAAAATAATAAACAAAGAATTATCTTATGTACAAATTGTCTTGTCATTATTATTCGTTATGTTTCTTCTTTTAGTTGTAAACTTCTTCTCTTCATTTTTCTTCTATTTCGCTACACTCTAAGAGGATGATAAGCGAAATAAACACTATAACATTTTGTCTATTTTCACTTATTGTCTATGTATCTATTGTTTTCTTGACATCAACTAATCTTCTCTCTATTCGTGCAAAAGTTTGTGTGCGTGTGTGTGTGTACAGCGCTACTTTGTACAAAATATTGTATGAAGAAACTTCTCCCTATATATAACACAAACAAAAAAAAATATACATATATATTCTGTATTTACATGTTTTTGTTTTGTTTTTAGTATACATCAATGATTTAACATAGAAATATATATATATATATAAGGAAAAGATGTGTTTATTGAGATGAGAATAAATTTTTTCTCTTTTTTTCTTTTTCTTTTTGTCAATAATTAGAATGAATGAAAAGAAAACAACATTAATAATTATTCGATAATAAACAAAAGTTAGATAAGATGATTGAATGTTAGTCTTTTATTTAGATATCTATTCTAGAATTGATAAAATTCATTTAGTAGAATTCAATAGAATAGACGGTGTACTGTAGAAAAGTCGAAATCGAAACATATTGAAAAAATAATAATGTTTCTAGTAAATGGTGAATCTAAGAAAATGTAATTTTATTTTTTGTTTCTTGACTTGTGTATGGTGTCTGTTAGAATATTAGTATTTTGCTGTACAAAATAAAAAATGTGTCTTGATACTCGAAATCTTCTAAAGCACTTTTCGACTATTCTTAACTCCTATATTTTCCGCTTTCGATCTTTCTACAGCCAACCAAATACACTGTTGAAACTATTGTTTCATTGTTTTTGTCAAATAAAAAATAGAACAATAAATTACGAGATTCTAAACTATTTGTGTCTATCAATATTATAACTTGATTTCTATTTGAATTTATTTCAATGTTTGTTTTTGATTTTAACAAAAATTTGTACATCTTTCGTTATGATTTAGTTTGTTACGTTTTACAAGAAACTGATGAAGCAATCTCACCAAATGATATTCTATGTTTGAGCTCATATTTTGCTCATAAGTAGAATTCATAATAAAAATAAAAATCCTAAAAGGGTTTGTACGATTAGAATTTTCTTCTCGAGTTATCATTAGTTTATTAAAGTTCTCTGAAAAATTTTTTAATAAAAATTCTTATGGTACTTATCCTATTCTACAAATTTCAGACTCAAATGGATGCTTCTCATCGAAGATAAGATATTTGAAGAAAAAAAACTTTTCAAAATAGCCCATTCTTTTCTCGGCATCCCATATCCTAAGAAAAACTTATCCGTTTGAGCTAAGATCTTCAGTAGTGTAAGATCTATTGTTGGACAAGGTTTTGAGATCAAAACTTCGTCGTCTTGTGACTGTCTTCGTAACATCTTTCCATACGTTGAAAACTTAGTAAAATGACCATGACTTAATAAAATTGTCCTAATAGTACGAACCTTTATAGGGTTTTCATTTATGTTATGCATCAGATTCATAAGCAAAATATGAATTCAAACAGGGTGTATCGATTCGAGAGAATTATGGTTTCAGAAATCTTACGCTAAGTCACATTATAAGATTCTTAAAAGATCTTACTGTCTTGCAAGACATCACTATTAAATTATAGGAAATCTTATATAATGGTAAGGTCTCACAAAAGTTTCACAAGTTGATTTAATGTAAGATTTCTGAGATTACATGATTTCACGTGACTTTTTCACCTGGGTAAATTCTTTCAAAGAAAATTCCTATAAAATCTCATAGCTCTCTGTATTAAGTAGAAAAAAAAAAGAAAATTACATTGTTAGCAATTTTCTACATGTGTATTTTCTTGCTAATCTCTATGAATATATAACATCTTAATTACAAAAAATAAACTATTCAAAGTTAAAATAATAGTTTTATTTCATATAGAATAATGCTTAATAAAAACATGATTTTTTGTAATATTTTGATTAAATTTATAAAAAACAACACATTGTTTTTGTTGGTTTGTTTTTAGATCAAATTAACAATCAAATACAACCGATAGTATTATCCATCCAATGACATTCTTTCGAACATTGATTACATTTTCCCTTGGCGCTTATACCGGCATGTATACAAGTCAAAATTATGAAGTTCCAAAAGTTGATTCTCCTAAAGAATTATATGAACGTTTATTGGCATATGTATCGTCATATAAAAAAGATGATTAGAGAAAAAAAACTAAACACATAACATCTAGTTTTTCATGTGTGTTGTATGTGTGTGTGTGTGTGTACGTAATTAACCTTATTTTTTTTGTCCACATTTTCTTTTACCAATACACATATACATATATATATATACATATGCTTCCAGATTTGTTTTTAAACAGAAAAAGAAAAAGAAAAACAAGACATAATGATAACGAGGTATTTGTTACGAAATTTTTCATCAATAACTCCGATATGTCATCATTTTATCCTTCGTCAATTGTCATCATCTGATCATAATCTGTCAGCGGTTGAATATGAAAAAATAGCTAATGAAACATTAGAATCATTAACAGAAACATTTGAAAATATAGTTGAAAAACATAAATTATCAACAGACGTATCCTATTCAAATGGTGTATTAACTGTTGAACTTAATAAATATGGTACTTATGTTATTAATAAACAAACACCAAATAGACAACTATGGTTATCATCACCATTTACTGGACCTAAACGTTATGATTTTATAGATCAAACATGGATTTATAAACATGATGGTATATCATTATATGAATTATTAAATAAAGAAATTTCAAATATATTTAAAAACGATAAAAATATTAATTTTAAGACATGTAGTTATGGAAAAAAATCATAATGTTAGAGAAAAATAAAATTATTTCTATGCTATTCTCTTCGGTATTTTTTTTATTCATTCATATTCAATGATTGATTGTTGTCTATTGTTGAAAGTTGGGGAGAAAAAAAAAATCTTGATTGAATTCTTCTATTTGACGACTCATCATTGACTATAGTAAGAATTTATCTTTCTTATCCGTTCAACTATGAATATAGGATGATGTGCGAATATGTGAATAAACTCTCGGAAACAGACTATATTCTATCGAGTTTTTTTTCTTCTTTTTCTTCTTCTTCTTCTTCTCTATCGTATTTCCAAGCTTACAACTCATTGTCTTTTGTCTCGTCGATCTGTGCAAACAAGTTCGAGAACATGAAACTTTATTACTATTGAAAAGATCTCGCTTTTCACAGATGCATACAACAAGAAAATGTCATAATAAGTGTATGTATGGTTTATATTCTATAGTCACTATAACCAGTTCGAGACTTTTCTGAAGAGAAAATAAGTATGAGCGCAAGAAATAAGAGAGAGAGAAAAACTGTCGAGTCGTTAATAGGTTTTCTCTTTTTCTCATTCTCTTACAGAATAAGTCACGATCATGGCATTAGAAAGAAAAACCTATATGCCGATAATGACAGTTAGCTAGTAAGAAAAGACCGGTTCCTCTATCCCTTCAATATTCTCTTTTTTCTGCAGTATGTGTAAAAAAATAGAGAATAGAAGCAAACAACATGCACATATAGAAACGATGTAGGTCAAATGATCAAGGAATTGAATCATAATATATATATATAGAGAGAGAGAGAGAGAGAAAAAGGGAAAAGCTGGCGATGAGAAATATACAGAAAATGAAAAGAAAGGAAATAAAAACCATTTGGTGTGGCAATCATAAGACGAAGTTAGCTTATTTCCAATTGCTGTCAGCATTAAACACGCACATAATATATATATATTTATCTATATACGAGACGTGACTTGTATATTCTACAAACAGGTAAAAAGGGAAAAGAAAAGATCTTGCTCTATTTATGTTTATCTATTCTTATAATTCGATGAATGAATTTGCTATTTAGTTTTAAAAGAATTTCAATGATGATTGAGAATGAAAAGAGAAAAATATAGAAGAAAAAACCGAAATAGAAAAAAATGAAGATGAAAAAAAAAAAAAAGAAGAAGAAAAACAGACACAGAAACGTCGCCTCATGCTGTTATTGTTACTGTTGTTGATGTTATAGAATAATATTACTTCATTGCACACGGCAGTAAAGACAATTAGCTCTACGATATTGGCCGGAACAGAAAAAAGGAAATTGTACTCCGACAAACATAAATATATAATACATGTATAGAGATAGATAGTTGATTTTACCATCTTCTCGTTTTAACTTATGCATATTAAGAGAGATACACATTTCTGGAAAATGCGAATCACAAGTCTGTCATCACTCTTGTCGACAGTTGGTTGCTTCATCGTCTTCAAAAAAAAAAACGACAACATATTAGACAGACGGATGAATTAATTATTTGTGTGGGTGAGAAGGTGTTATTTTGTACGATACGCTTTCTGTATTATATATCCATATGAAATGTTTTTTAGTATTAAGCCTATAGAGCATCCAAATGTCTCCAAGATTTCATAATCGATGTTGGTTGACTGCTTGTCTGAGTGAGATTGACAATGGCACATACGGGACACAATATGACAGGATAGCAAATTGTGAAATGATAGAGAACACCGTCTAAACAATAGACATACCAATTGAAACGAAGAACGATTGTGGGTGTTAGTGTTGCGAAGAAAAGAATGCTATAAAAAAAAAAAAGGAAAACATACAAGCTGTCATTTTTGTGGCTGAACGGTAAAGTATGCAAGTTAACGTTTTGTCATGCTAGAATTGAAAATTTATTCTTAGAATAACCAATGAAAAGGTTACGTAAACAATTTATTATATATAAAAAAGAAAACAAACTCTAGGAAAAAGAAAAAAGATATTCATATCAATAGATAAAATATTTTTATTCCTGTTTTTTTTTTTTTCGTTTATATTTAGTATTCGATAATTAGAAAGTAAAGAAATTTAGTATTAATAAAATATTCAATGTTTATTTTTATTAATTATCTTTCGTTAACCATATATATGTATATATATATATACATCCATCTATGTAAATATTCAAAACAAAGGTTGTACCAAAATATGAATTATGTCATGAAAATTACTTTTCGATGACTTTTATTGTTCGATTAAACGCGTACATTAGCAATGAAGATGAGAGAAAGAGTAATGCTGTAGGCATTGTATGTGCGTACTATGTCTCTTTTCTTCTTTCTTTATACAAGGTTGTCGACTTACACGATAGATGTATTGGTTGGTGTGAATCGGAAATAGAACTTGTCATGCTGCTGATCATTCGTTCCCTTTCAGCTATTTTTGTTTTTTGTAATATACAAAGCATGCTACTAGTATACAGTCTAATTTTACTATTGCTTATATTTTGAAGAAAAACAAGACTATTTGACATAAGATAAAAAGTCATCGATAAATATGTATTATTTAGAAAAGAAGCAAATTTTGTTTTCTTTTGTTTCGATTATGAATTATGTTTAAAAAAATTTTTTAAAAAATGAAGATAATATTCATACATTAGTGAGAAAAAAGATATGAATATATATATATATTATTATCATGCTTTTGTTAAAATGGTTTTTTGATCACAGAAAAAAAGAATTTTTAAAGGAGCAAGTGACGTCTGTCTTTTCTTGGTGTTGTGTCTCGATTTCAGCTTCCGAACCATTGCGTTTTCTCTTGAGTAGAATTATCGTTCTCGTCGTCATTGTAGTTTTCCCTCTCTCTCTCTCTCTCTCTCTTTCTCTCCCTCTTATTCGCTTTCTGAAGAAAGACGGATGATGAGAGTGAACGAGGCACGAGCGCAGCGAGCATAATGGAGAAGAAGAAGAGAGACAGAGACAGACAGACCGAAGGGAACGCAACGTCGACGAGAGCGAACGAAGAACATGTCAAGGAGTTTGAAGGCTTGAGTGAGACGATGATGAAGGCGGCAGCAATGGTGAATGTAATGTTAGTCTCTAGAGAATATCCAATGATCGCGCTGAGCTGTATAGCCTTTGCGTGTATGTATCTATATCTTTTGTTTCGTCTATTATTATTTTTGTTGTTCTCATATTTCTTTATTTTAAAAGTATTTTAATATGTTTGCACCTATATTCATAAGCATTTATATGACATTTGATATCCTATTATGACTCGATCAACTGATGAGAATTGTATGTTTATGTCCAGTTTGAAATGGCAACGAGAAAAGGAGGAGATAGAATGAGGAAAGGGAAATAGGCCCAATGTCTGAAATAGATTAATCATAGAGACAGAGCACCAGAACGATCGGGCTTTTATGTCGGAGGAAAGAACGCTGCGGTAGCCTTCTTGTGTCTGTCTCTCGATTTCTCTCTTTTCCATGCGATGACGCGAAATGTTCGTTCATCGTCGTGCTCTTTCTTGTAGCAGTCAGTCAGTAAAGCAGTGTGTTTGCTGATAGGAAGCAACATTAACATCGACAGAAAAAAGCAAGAGAATGACAGAGAAAAGAAGAAAAAAAAAAGAAAAGAAAACCCAGTCGTCGTGGCAGCTAGGACCACTACTATACGGATAGAATGAAAAAGAAAAGGAGACAGAGCCAAGAGAGCGCAAAAGAAATAATAATAGAGCCGATAGAAGTAGAAGCAGTAACAGCAGTAGTGTTGGCTACAACAGAGAGAGAGAAAACGCGTTTCTGCAATTTGGCTCCCGTCGTGTGCAACGAAGACGACTATGTGTGCGTGTGTATGTGTAGTAATTGAAGCTTGACTTGATGGTGATCAAATACATACACTTAGAAGAAAAAAAAAAAAGAGAGTTATTCAGATCTTTCGACCAATGTTGTGTTTAAAGTTTTTGTTCCATTTTTTTTTTGTTTCTAATTTATTCTAGATAAGATATTCGATTGGAAATAATAGAACATATATATATATATATACATACATACATATATAAACAAAACGTTGAGCGGTTCGATGACATCGGTGATTGCAAATGGATGCTCAACAACAAGAAATTCAACAACAACAATTACAAATTTTCACTTCCAAACCGATAAACGGTAAAATGATACAATAATAATTCTTATGAATACATTGCCTTAATAGATAATTTTATTCTATTAGTTAAATATATTTTTCTCTAAATATCAATCTTCATAAATATTAATTTTCTTTTTCTTGAAAGAAAAAGTAATAATAATAATAATAACTCGAAAATAATACAGCTGTAATTATTATTAAGAAAAAAAACCTTCTTTATTAATAAGTCTTATAGTCACTATGTGGTGAATATTCACATCCTGAAGGCAAAGATTACCGGATACGTCTAATAACAAAATCCTATAGCTCTTCTTTTAAAATTGATTCTAGGCAATAATTTTCTTCGATATTTAGATAAAAGCTTTTTTTTTTTTCTTCTTTTCTTGAATAAGATAAATTTTGTTTTTCTCTTCATCGTTATAAAGAAAACATCTTTTCTATTCTATCATGCGTTAATTAAATATTAAATAAATTAGTGACATCTATAAAGAAAAACTTTTCAAAAAACAAAATGTTTGTGACAGGAAACACATTTGCTTGAGATTTATTGAAATTATCTTTAAGAACATCTTTTACATTTTGATTTAATAAATTAAATCGAATAATATTGATATTCTTGTTCTTCTTCGTCTTCTTTTTTATGAAAACCGTAGTTTTTTTTTTCTTCTTTTCATTCGTTCGTTAATAAGATCCTATTTTGATGAGCGTTTAGAATAGAATATATGAATTTGTCACGAGATTTCCTCATTTATTTATAGAATGACATTTTTTCATCAATTAAACATAAAAAAAAAGAAAGATATGACAGACTTATTTGAAAATCACGGATCATTCTTCTTTTTTTTTTTTTATCAAACATTCACTACATATTAAATGAGAGTGGTGTAAAACTTTCTCAACTTAAATATTAGGTTAAATTAAAATGATTCAACTCGAAGAACTTTTCATTGACGAATTAAAATTAATGGATAGCATTTGTTTTAGATTATCTATGTAGGATTAATATCTGCTTAAGAAAAGAAATCTATAGCTTCGGGATACATATTTCTACGTTAAGATAAAATAACTTGTCAAAGACTTCCTCGGGCATTTCAAACACTATCAAGTATATTCTATTTTTTTTTTTTTCTTGAATGCGTAGTAGACGAAAACAGTATAATATAACTCACTCCTACTAATCATTTAAAGAGAAAAACTTTTTAACATTTTAATCCTTAGAATGACATAACATTGTTTTCGTAAGATGTTTATCAAAAATAAAAAGATTAAAAATAGAATGAGTGTTTTTCTAACAAGAATTAATCTCATGCTTATTTCTTGTTTTTTTTTTTCTTCTTTTTTTCTAATAGGCTAACCATGCACAAGGCGGCATTGTGCCATGTCTGTGCTTCTCGTCACTGATGATGTTGACGATGATATTCGAAAATATTCCATAACTAATCAACAAGAATATATTTATAAACAATTAAAAGAACTTGAATACGATTTATCATCATCAGTAAAAACATTTTCTATTGTCGGATCCTCTTTATCGATATTCGATAAATCTAATAAATATTATCGACAACATCGCCGTCGGCGTCGTTGTCGACCGCAGCAATGTTTGGTGCAGCATTTGCTCACCTACATGCTAGCATTGCTTATCCTAACCAATCATCTTCATTGGCCAGTCATATTTTTATCATTATCATCTATAAAAATCATGTCAACCTACGCATCATCAATAACAACAACAACAACAACAACAACAATTGTAGCAACATCAAATCAAACAATAACAAAACGTCCATTATTAACGCCGTCCACAATAGAAATATTATTAGAAGAGGACGAACAACAATGTTTACCAATAAATACATTACAAATCGATCGAATATGTTCAAAAATTTGTCGTGCACAAAAAATACCATTCGGAAAATTCGACAATATCAATCAACCTATAACCGATACACATTATTTACCTTATTGTTCAAATCTATTAAATCAAATAATAGTCAAAGAAAATTTTTTCAACGAAACAACAGAAACAGAATGTCGACAAACATTAATACAAATATTAGCAAACGACAAAGAAGCTCGACAAGCTACGGATTATTTTGCTACTTATATGGAAGCAATAGATTCAGCATCAAAAGAAAATCGTTATTCAATTATAGATTCCGACTGTCTAGTAAATTTTTCATTCTTTTCTTTTCTTAGTTTTTTTTTTTTTATATTTGAATCTATTGAATACTTCTTATTTTATAGAAAGCTTATCGAACATGGGCTTGTTCAGTTAAAATTCCATATTATTATCAAAATCATCTTATACCGCCTTGTCAAACGATCTGTGATGAAGTCGAGCGTGTTTGTCCTACATTTCGACCCAGTGATCGTGAACCATTATTTGCTGGACAACCATTATTTTTTTGCCATGGTAATAACAAGATTCTTTTTTTTTTGTTTTGTTTTTTATTTGATGAAACTATGTTCTTACAAAAGAGTACTTGAACAAGAATTTCCGTCATAGATGACTTAACTATAGTATTTGACTTATGTATTGATAGTGATGATTTTAGAATAATTGTTCAAAACAAAACGGATATTAATGAAATATTTTTATTTAATATTCTTATGTTTATTTTTGTTGTTTTAGGAGGTATTGTAGATAATATTGATTATGGTGAACGACCATATTGTTTTGATACATGTCATATATATCATGGTTCACTTCAACGTCCTTCCTCGTTATCATCACCCATATCAAATCAAACTTCTTCTTCTTCTTTTTCTTCTTCTTCTTCTGTACCTTCAATAGCAAAATTTATTGAAGGCATTGTGACTACACCGCCATGTTTTGAAATCAAAACGTTATCGCCTTCTTCATCTGAACAAAACAAATCATCATTAGTATTTGTCGACGAATCGATATTTGATAATACAAGTAATACATCTCTTTCTTCTTCAGCTATAACTATCATATCGTCATCTTGGTCGTCGTCTATTATTTTAACTTTTATTCTTCGTTTTTCAATGAAAATTCTTATATGACGACTGAGTTTTATTTTAGTAGTGATAGATAGGTAATATGTGTCAATGTTAATCGAGCTGGTTCTCGATACAAAAAAAAAAAAAAAGAAATAATAAAAACCGTATGAAAATCGAAGAAAGTATTCGATCGTGTGCATAAAACAAGTTCATATGTGTGTGTATTTGTTTGTTTTATTTCTATGTGTAATATTTTTTTTTTTTGTTTTTTTTTTCTCCTCACTCTTTTTCTTTCTTCTTTTTTTTTTTTTATTTGTACTATTGGAATGCTATGCCATCACTGAATGACCTGCCACTCAATACTGTTGCTGCTGATAGATCTAGAAGGAGAAAAGGAAAAAAACTGAAAAAAAAAAAAAAAAAGAAATATTAATTGATACTGTCATTACTATCGTTGAATTCTTCTTTTTGGGGATATTTATAAAACAGAACTCAAATTTAAGGTCAAAGTTCTTTTATAAGAACATTATACGAAATGCAAACAATTCAAAAATTATACTAGCAAATATTTAAATAATGTTTTATTGAGTATTGATGGTAGGCATGTTGAATTAATGTTATGACAATAGAATTTAATCAACTTAATAGTCATCATTTTCTGGTAAATAAATTTTAAAAAAAGTGAATATCTGAAAATAATCAATTCAATAAGGTTAATCCAAATTGAACAAAAAAAAAATTGTAAATAATTATACTCATCATAGTTTTCTATTGCATATTATAAGTTTTGCTGAAGACGATAGCGAATTCAGCTAAGGACCAGCGTGTATGAGAACTTTACAAACCGAACCCGATCGAACCTAGGCTCGACTGAGATATTTTTTATAATGCGCATAAAAACTAGAACAATTGAAGCCCAGCGCTCGAAGTTATCTCATTATGTAGAGTAATATTTTGTCTATATTTCGATAGTTTAGACCAAATAGAGCAGCCTTTCATTTCAAAATTTAAGCTATTAATGTAAAAGTGTTTGAGAGTAACGAAAAAACGCTCGATACACGCCTAATTGTCCGTAAACAGAAAATTCCTGACTACATTACTGGTTGATTGAAGATTATCAATTCCGAAAATCTTGTCCAATCTTGACATACATTACAAGAACTCGTCTATCTAAATGATATATCTTTGTCTTAGTCATTTACTTTTTATTATTGATTTATATTCTGACATACGACAATAAAAAAAAACTCATAAAATATTTATAGTTCTTTTATATTTTTACAAATCATTTTATCATTGTTATAATGCTTTATTTTCATTAACAACCATCATAATAATTAGAGAATAGACGGTGCTAGAATAATTCGTCGCATGACATATTAGTGGAGTTTATTGGGCTCAAAATTTTTGAATCTAAACTAACTCGACGAGTTCTACATTATAGTCTTAAAGTGCTCTGAAGAAGCATCGAAGGTGAGTGATGCGAATATACAAAAGATTTTGACTTACATCGACATCCACATATCTCCAACGCTATGTCCGATCCTTAGAAAAAACTTCTTACTTCTAGTTTGTTGTATATGCTTCTATAAATTGAATGAATGAAAACTCTTCGAATTTCTTATTTCTATAAGACTTCTGCAAAAAGATATTTTGACATTGCTATAAAGATTTTCTGTTCACTTCTAAATGATTTCTTATAATCTAATAGTTTTCGATTGTTCAGTTAACTCTAAATCAAGAATAGTAATTTCTTCGATTTTTTTATTTTTTAAACAATTTCTGTATCGGCATCTATCGAGAAAAAAAAACATAGAAACTTTATGAAGGATATGACAAGCATCAGGATAGGTTAGTTAATATAACGATTCGATTCAATCGTCTGATGATGATTCACTCAGTGGGAAAAAAAATAAATGAATGATGACTTAGTTATTTTGAAATTCAAGTACGTCATACAGAAAATTTTCGTCATTGAATTTTGCTCTTTGATTTTTTTCTTCAAATATGAAATAAATGATGTATTTTGTTGTACTACTCTTTTTCAGATATATACAATAATAAGAATGGCTTCAGTTGTTAAAATTGAAAAATCTAAAGAAAATGAAGATGTTCTTGAAAAAGCTCTACATGGAGATATGATTGAATTTATTCGAGGAGCTTATAGTCATTGGGCAATTTATGTTGGTAAATTAAGCTTATTTTCGTATATTTATATTCTGATGAACTTTTCATTTAGGTGATGGTCGTGTGATTCATCGATGGGGTGATCACGATGGTATTGGAAAATCAGTTGGTTTTTGGGGAAATCTATTGACATTTTCTGGTACACAATTTGATAAAGCGACAATTCTTCAATCACATGTATCTGATGTACTTAAATTGGGTGGTAAAATTCGAATTAATAATTATCTTGACAAAAAATATAAGTATGTTAAAACATTTATTATAGACTTGAGTATTTCATCAATTGAAATAGATTAAGATAAAGATAGAACTATGAAAATTATAAATAATCTTTTACATCCATTGTGTTAGAATACTTTCAAACTATAATGTTTTTCGATTAATTTAGAAGTATGATGCAAGAGAACGAATGATTGTTAGGCTTGTGATAAAGTAAAACTCATTAGTTTTCGTTGCTATGCACTTAAATCAAAAAAATGGAAAAAGAAAACATTGAACTTATATAATAATAATTAAAATTCTTTAAATGCTCTTCTTGAGAAAAAGTCAAATTTTATCGATTTTGTGATTTATAGCTTGTTAGATGAAAAAAAGTATCTACTCTCGGATGTATTATTATTTATTGATTTTATCATAAGATTTAAGGATATTACATAGATTTTTCTAAGCCTTCACAAAGAAGAAAATAACGTGTTTTTTTTTTAAATATGATTTTTAAAGTCTTTCGAGCTTCTCTGTTAACTTTTGGAAGTGATGAACATGCCTATCATACACTGTTAAGTACGGTAAATGAATACAACACTCGGGTATGAAAAACCAGGCAATGGAGTGGAGATATGGATGAACTGAAGATTCACACACATTCACAACCAAACATTTACATGCGTTCTAATCAATTATTTATGACAAAATATTCAAAGACTCTTTCTATATCAGTTTATGGAGGAAAAAGTCTTGATTTTGTGTGTGTTGAAAGCTTGGCTTGATGTCAAAATGAAGGCAAAAATCAACTCTATGATTTAACAGAGCTGGATTTTTCGATCCTGTCTTTAGTGTTCGCTAAAAAGTAATTGTTCTCAACTTGCATCTTCTGATTGTTTCACACTTTATTAGCAGAGCTTTCGAGAAACAAAAAATAGAAAAATCAGGCTCTGTTAACTTGTAACGCCACGTTTTTTGCTACATTTCGAAACTAATCTAAAGTTTTGAGATAGTGGAGAACTTTGAAACGCATGAACATCTATATTTTGATCCATAACATAAAGCTCACTCTTCATTAATTCAATATATCTAGCTGAAATTTTTACTTAGAGATGCTTTACTTAAGATACAATTCCTTCGAATATTTCACCAAGATCGTATTCTCGAAAAAAACAACATTGTTTTTTTTTTCTAGAGTTCTCTTAAAGATTTTCAAAAAAAACATATAAAAATTAGATCGCATATTTCTCTCATATATATATAGGATTTTCCTCTCTAAAATATGAGCATAATAATATTACAAAAAAAATCATAATTGAAATAAACTAAGATATTATGAAATAATTCAGTCTTATTCATCAGGAGCAATAATGAATAAATAATTTTATTAAAACAAAATATTAAAATTTACATCAGAAGAATAGATAATTTCATCAGGACTGACTGCAAATATATGTGTGAAATTTAGATCTCAACAAACGATATGAACTTTGCATTTATATTCGTTCATACGTGTTCTGTAAATCAATCAGAGACGTGGTACTCGTTTCGACACAAAAAATAATGAGATCTCGACGTTACAAAATATTTTTACTATTTCAAATTGCTATTTATATAACATTGCATGAGTGTGAAAACCATTTTAATCATGATCAAGTAATCTATTATATTTGAAAAAAGATCATATAAATGAAAAGTAATATTGTTTTGCTAAAAGTATACGTTTCTAATGAAAATTCATCTCCAGATGATGATGAATCATATAATGAAGTAACTGAATACTAGGAGAGGGGAAAATGAATTATCAAAAAGATGAACATGTATTATCGTAATGGAAAAAATATCCACAGTTATGACGTTGGGCATCAACACTGTATTCTATTCTTGTATCATCAGCAAGAAACAAATATATACTTAGCGAAGTTGATTGAGTTTTAGAAGCAGATAGATACCAAGTGAATTCTAGGTTACTAGCTTTTTTTCTGAAATTTGAGATGATCTTTTTTTCTATTGCTGTTTGTGGAAAAAACAAACCAAATAGAATACTTTTTCATATAAAGTAAAAATTTGAAAACTGTACTGTAACTGTAAAAATATCTGCGAAATATCGATTAGCTCTGGCCGAGTACCAGATTCAGTTGCGAGCAGTTGTATTCGTGCAGCACTCTGGTCTATAGTCGAGCAATCAGATGCAACAAATTTGATAGATCTCCTATAGTTACTCATGTCAAAAAATGATTATTTTAACATTATTTTAAACTTATATTGAACTACAGTAATTTATCAATAGTTAATACAACATGCTGTCATTATTAAGAATAGTCTTATGTGAATTGTTTTTGAGTAAGAAAATAAAATAATAAAACAAGAAAGTAAACTAATTTTTCGTATGAAATAAATTTCTAATTATCTGTTATTTTAATCAATACTTATCGATTTTTAAATAATAATGAGTCTATCAGCTATATTAANATTTCAGCTAGATATATTGAATTAATGAAGAGTGATCTTTATGTTATGGATAAAACAAGAAAGTAAACTAATTTTTCTTATGAAATAAATTTCTAATTATCTGTTATTTTAATAAATACTTATTGATTTTTAAATAATAATTAGTCTATCAGCTATATTAAATTTGATACTATTGATAAAATAAATAAGAGATTTTCATAAGTTTACATATCTAATATTTTATTTCTAGACCATTGCCTGCTGAAATTATTCTCGACAAAGCTCGTCGTGCTCTCAATCAAGAAGGTTATAATTTAGTATATAGTAATTGCGAACATTTCGCAACGGAATGTCGTTATGGTCAACCAAATAGTCGTCAAGTAAGAAAATGATCGAAAACTCAAAAGAATAAAAAGAACCATTATTCTTGTCTTATTTTTATTTTTGTTTTAGGTACAAATTGCTGTTGGAGCTTCAGCTCTAACTGCAATGATTGTAACAGCTGCAGCAGCGGTTTCAACAGCACTTTTTCTACGAGGTCCTTCAGAAGAAGACAATAAAGAAAAAGATGATAAAAAAGTTCAAATTAAAACATGATTATGAACCATTGTTTATATCATATTTATTCGTAGTCTTACACAGAATAATATTTATGTTTTTTCTGAAAATATATTTAAACTTATTTTCGAAGGGTTTATTTTTGTTTCTTTTGGATTTATTTATTTAATATTTTTGTGCTGATGAAATATAATTGTAAATTCCGTTTATAACAAAAAAAAATGTTTTGATTTTCGTTTGCGTTAATCAATAAATATGCTTCATATATTCAAGAATATTAATATAGAATGTCTATTGGTACTCGAGTTTTTTGAGATTATTGGTTATTTTTTGTTGGTTAGTGGCTTTCATCATGAAAACTCTTTTATTTATTTTTAATTTTTGATTTGATGTCAAATAAGTATAAATTTCAGATTTATTACATGTGTCAAATATTTAACAAATGGCTTTTCATGACGAAGTTGAAATAGAAGGTAAAATTTCGAAAGATAAAGAGATGAAAAGATTATTTGTTTTGTTTAGATTTCGAATATGATGAAGAATCTGAAACTTATTATTGGCCATGTCCATGTGGTGACAGATTTCAAATAACGAAAGTAAAAGAATTTAATTGCAAAACAAAAACAAAATGATTCTTTTTTATTTTAGGAAGAACTTGAAAGTGGAGAAGATAGTGCTCGATGTCCAAGTTGTTCACTTATCGTTCGTGTTATTTATGATAAAGTAATTGAAAATATATTTTATGAAGATATTTATTGTGTTTATGTTTTGTTTTCTGTAATTAGGAAGCATTCATGGAGAAAACATCAAATTTAAAACAGAAAACATCACCGATGATAGAAAAACTCACGTGACTATTTAAAACTGTTGATTTGTTATTTTATTTCATTATTGCACAGTGTGTTTTTGTTTTCTTTAATTACATTAAAAGAAATAACTTGTTAACATATGCTTTGTGCATATGAAAATTAATATGAAAACACTATTTTCACTCGTTTTCTAGGAAAAAAATGTGTTCAAGAAAGAACGACAAAAGATAATCAACATATTATCAATACACGTAATCATTCCGAATTTTATTGAAATAACTGAGTATACATCCATATATATATGACTGAAACAGATGTTTCCAATGTTAATGTTAATTTTGTTGTTATTTGGTTAGATAAAGATGTTAATAGAAGACACGAAAATGAAGATACAAAACAACTTTTACGTCGTATTGTTGGAAATCAATTAAAAACATTTAATGATCCTGATGAATGTATTGATTATATATCAACAGAACAAATGAAATTAGTATTTCTAATAATTTCAAATGCATTTGGTCATTATGTAGTACCACTAATATATCAAATACCACAAATTCAAGCTATATATGTGTTTTGTGTTAAGCGACAACGAGCCGAAACATGGGCAAAACCAGATTTAAAAATTTCTGGTATATTTACAGACAAAAAAATTTTAGTTGATAAAGTTCGCGATGACATACAGGCATTCAATATAAATAATAATATACCAATGAGTATTTTTCATATTGATGATTGTCAAAAAATAATACGTGATTTACAAGGAAATAGTGCAAAATTTATGTGGTATCAATTATTAATGGTTGTTTTACAACGTTTACCTACATCTAAAGATGCAAAAAATGAAATGATTGCTCAATGTCGTATAGTTTATTGTAAAGATTTAGTTGAACAAGATAAAATAAATAGATTTGAAAAAGAATATACAGAATCAAATGCGATTTGGTGGTATACATATGATTGTTTTGTATATCGTTTATTAAATAAAGCATTACGTACACAAAATATTGATGTTATATTTCAATTTCGATTTTTTATTTATGATCTTAATAATCAAATTAAACGACTCTATTTACAGTATTTACAAGATCATCGTCCAATCTCAGTACATCGTTTAACTGTTTATCGTGGTCAACATTTAAATATCGATGAAGTTAATGTACTTAAACGTAATGTCAATGGACTTGTATCAATGAATACATTCCTTAGTGCAACATTAAATATAGATATAGCACTTATTTATGCAGAAACTGACCCTAGAAGTGCAGAAACATCACAAATACAATCTGTTCTTTTTATTATTGATATATTTGATATGAATGAAGAGACAACACCATTTGCTCCAATTGCAGGTAATTCTTGTAATGCTGAAGAAGAAGAAGTTCTTTTTGCTATTGGAGCTATTTTTAAAGTTATGTCTATTGAAAAAATAGACAATCGATGGAATATTCATTTACAATTAAGTAAAGAAGAAAATCAACTCTATCGAGATCTATCATATCATATTATGAAACAAATTGGATCTGAAGCAAACTCATTAACACTTGGATGGTTTCTATATCGAATGGGTGATTATTATAAAGCTGAACGATATGCTGAATCATTACTCAAACAACTTTCAAATAAACATAAAGACATTGGAAAGACTTATAATCTATTAGGTTTGATTCACAAAGATACTGGTCGTCTATCACAAGCTATTAAATATTATGAGAAAGCACTTGAAAACTATTCTTATACTTGTTCACCTAATAGTCCTCAAGTTATTGCTACTCATTATAATCTTGGTTTGGCTTATCTAGCAATAGGAAATAAAGAACTAGCTACTGAACATCAAGCTAAAGCTAAAGGACGATTAATTGATTCTTCACATACGAATAAATCATTACTTGAAGCTATGACTGATAGTCTCAAAGCTAAATTGGATACAGCACTTGGAAATTATGTTTGTGCTTTTAAAAATCTTGAAAGAATATTAGAAAAAAAGAAAACATCATTACCATCAGGACATCCGTCATTTGCATCAACCTTAAAAGAGATGGGTATTGTACAAGTTAAAATGAATAATGATGAAAAAGCACTTGAATATTTTAATGAAGCATTAGATATTTGTCGTAAAAGTTTAACAGACTATAATATGGATGTAGCAGACTGTCATGAACATATTGCTCATGTACATTATAAACGTCAAGCATATTCACTTGCATTAGAACACTTTGAAAAAGCCTTAGATATTGTGACATATATTTCAAGAGAGGATATTGATCGTGTGGAAGATTTACAAAACTGGATTACAAAAACGGAAGGAAGTATGAATGCTAATAGAGCGGAATAACTTTCTTTTTATTTTATTAGCTATAATAAAATTGATACTGTTATAAAAAAAAATCATCAATTGAAATTTATTATATCAATAAATGGATGGACTTAGAAGATTTCTTAGTTACAAAAAGAACAATAAGTTAAATTTATTCAAAAAAGAGAAATCTATTTTAAATATTCAATGCACTTATAATGATCAAATACAATATGTGTACATCGTATCTTCTTAGACATTATTGTCAAAATGACACTTATTTTAATTCATTTGAATATATCTATTAATGCATTACAGGTCATTCCATTTATTTTGAAACAAATTAGAAAGCTTTTCATTTTCTTATCTTGAAAAGTTTGTTGCAATAAATGTTCAATATGTGTTCCATGAACATAGTAAATTAATCTACGATGCTTTGCCCAATTCTCTAAAGCGTCGTCGATTTTATGGAGCTCAAGATTTTCACACTACAATTTTACAACATTTTTCAAGCTATTCAATGTTGGCACTTTGNTTTTGCATTTAACAACAGTCGAAAGTTTTTTCTTTGTAAAACGATGATGAAAAGTAAATCGAAACGAACAAAATCGATTAATAAGCATTACAAAATATTAAGTTTACCTTGTTGTTTTTTTCTCGATTTTTGTTTTCTTACTTCTACAATACATTAATGTGCATAAGCAATTAAACGATCAAGAAAAACAAATGGATATTAGTTTTGTTATTTGTTTATTCTATTAGCGTACTAGATTTTCAAAATATAACGACAATGCATCTATTCATTTTCAGTAAGAGTTGCACTCCTCAGGCTTTCGTATTGTTCTTCATTAAATTTTGGGTACGATTGTTGTTGTTATTGTATAAAGTGAAACAGAGAAAAAAAAAATGCGCAATCCGGATCCATTTGCATCATTTTTTTTCAATGAGGCTCAACTGATCAAACTATAGACATTTGATGATATAATCAAATTTCGTATTATATGTGTAGGTGGTGTTCTTTTTTTATGTGTGTGTTGTATTTTTATTCAAACATTGATCATAATTTGAATTAGTCCATTTGTTAAATTTATTTTGTCTGTTTATAATTGTACGAAGGCGTTGTTCTATTATAATTGTAAGTTAATCTATTCTTTTCTAATCAATCAGTAAGTGCGTGTGTCTGTATACAATCTAGTGCATTGATCTCTATTTGTAATCTTCCTAGTTACTATTGCTGGTGTCCTCCGTCACTGCTATATCATACTCTTATTAATCCTCAACAAATGAGACAGGCATAGAAGGCAAAAAAAGAAAGACATTGTCCATTGAGGATAAAACCAATCGTCTTCTCAAGTGTCTTTTAAAGCACATATACGTATATATACACGTATAGGAGAAAATGTATGCATAGAATATGAGGAAGAGAAACTTTTCGATTTAAGCAGTGTCATCTTCGTTCTAATGTACTTGAGTTTCGTAGATTTGCATTCAGTGTTGATATGGTCTAGACAGGCAATTTATAATAGAAAGTAAAAAAAGGATAAATGTGAGGAAAAATTTTTGAAATTTTCTTAAATATCATTTTTTTTTTCGTATTGTTGACTTTCATTTAACACTTAGGTGTTATCCGTTTATCTTTTGATCTTATTATTTTTTTCGCTTTTGTTCATTTGCACATTTTGATTAGAAATATGAAGAAAAAAAAAACGATTGACCTTATTTTTCATATATATAAGTTTAAATTCCTGATACATTACTTTTTATCAAAAACATTCCTATTTTTTTCTTTACTACATTTAAAAACGCACATTAACAGTTTTTTCTTTTGAGTCAAATTTTGAAAAAGGTATGACTGACATACATAGTTGCAAGAGGAAGAATAACAACAAGTGTTTGTCGTATGTCTATTTACTTCGATGCAAAGCAATTCCAATTTATGTATCATATTTTTTTTTTTTTGTTAAATATATTTAAGCAGACAACAGTTGATCATTTCTTTTCTTTTTATTCTTTAGATTTTTATAAATCATTTATAATGACATCTTGTTCAGACTTAAATAGAATTGAATGTCGACCAAATACCAAGGTATGATCGTTATATATTTGATGTTTTTTGATCAAGAAATAATTGTTAAATGTCGATAGTTATCATTTGATATTGTTTTATTTAAATGAAACTTTGAAAAAAAAATAAAGAACTTTTTTAATTTAGATTGACAAAGAAAAAACTAAATTGAAATACAAAACTTTATCTTATATTGATATTGATTGAGTTATAATAAAATAAATGTTCTTGAAAAAGAATGCGCCTTATTTCTAATAAAATGAAGTAATAATCAAATAAAAATATAGATCGATATTTGACAAAATTTAGTTATTTAGTGAATCATTCAATTTACATAAAACTAATCGATATAATATGCATCATCCTATCGTCTTTTTTTGCCTCTCATTACTACTACCTAAGAAACATTAACTGTATGTATTGTCAAGGTCGAATGCTCATATAAATGATAGGAAGAAAAAAAAAAGAGACGTTGACGATCCATCTTTCATCGTTTCTTCATTTCTTATACGTGTATATGCTGAGCCCTGAGATGAGAGCGACAGAGAGAGAGAGGGGTGGAGCGATGGCAAAACTATCGAACGAATGTGTGCGCGTGTTATAAAAGATAACCTTCCATTGCGCTCTCTCGCTTTTGTGTGTGTGTGTGTGTGTGTGTGCTCTCTATCATCGTTCTTCGTGCTGTGTGTGTGGTGCGCACAAGTACCCGAACACGTACTACGTACTATATCATACTTCTCCATCAAGTAATAGCGCACATTAACTAAGTGATGCACACATTTGTATATTCTAGGTCGTACCATTTCCAATATCAACAAGTAAGAAACTTGTTGAACCATTTAATCGTCTTAAAAATCGAGCTAATTTATTTCGTCGAAAAAATTATTCATCCCAACTTGATTTAAGTTCATATTCAATTGATAATCGTTCGTCTTCAAATACTGATCATATTGTTCCATCACATCAAGTATCAATAACAAATTTTCATAATACTGGTGATATTATTCTTAAACGTTCAAATTCTATGATATGTCCACAACAACATTTACAAACATTTTTAAATCAAAATAATAATAATAATAATAATAATTATATAAATCATCGTAATTCAATTTGTGTTCAATTAGCTGGTTGTTCAACAGACGAAAGTTCAACAGACGATAACCAATTAGTTAAATCATCATCAAATCGTTATTGGTCTAAGTCATTTTCATCAAAAATGAATGATATTGACGAAAACGAAATTTTATCATCTAATCAACCATCGACTATAATTGAAGAATCCAATATTAATCATAATAATGAAAATGATCAAGAAGAAAAAGGTAACAAATAAAAATAAAAAGTTCTTGTCAATGTCAATCATTTTATATTCTACTCAAACAAATAGCTATATATACAATTTGTTTCTTTTCTTTTCTTTTTTTCTGTTCAGTATTGTCATCATTACCTAACAATAATAACAACAGTGAACATACGTCTGCCATTCTTCCATTATCTCAGTCAACTATGGATGTTATTATAAGAGAAAAAGAAGATAAAGAAAAACAACAAGAACAGATATCTTCAACGACTATTCCAACTTCTATTATATCTTCATCTCATTCATCATCATCACCGTCATCGACAGTTATATTACGAGATCATGCTGAAACAATTCGTACACGTCGTCAGTGCCATTCAAGTATATCTCTTCTACAACATCAACAACGACAACAAACTTTATCAACATCTTTTGAAGAACCATTTTATGATTGTAAACAACAAACATTAACAAAAAAATCCAATCAAAATTTAGATATGTCTTTAAATAAAATTTCAACATGTACAATGACTGGTAAATCATTAAATAATCTTGATGAATCTTTATCAACAATATCATCCGAAGAAAAAGGTGTACAAACAACATTAAATGAATCAATAAATACAAATACTTGTATTAAACGAGCTATTTCTTCAACGAGTTTATCATCATCATCAACATCTATGCAAACAGATTCACTTGAAAAAAAACCTAAAATGCCTATATCAACAACAATAGATGAAACAACATCAACAAATGATATCGATACATCAACACATTTAAATAGTCAATATCAAACTGACTCACAATATAAATGGCCACATATACATGAAAGATTACTTGGTGAACAAGCATGTATTTATTGGGTTAATTATTTAGGTAAATTAAATTCTATGAAATTTAAGATATAAAAGATAACAAAAAAAAATTATCTAACTAAAGTTTACATAACTTATCAACATTGACAAACTATTTATGATACTTAAGTTAAGATTTAAATAGAGGTCAACAAGAAAGTCTTATCATTTCTTAGTTACACAGTGTAGAATTCAAAATAACTTATCGAATGATTATACTATAAATAAATTATAATCATATAAATATATTTTTTAATAGAAAAAGAAAAAAAAAAGTACATTTTCATATATTATTATAATTAAATTATACATTAATATAATATTCAAAATTATTTTATTTATAAAAATTTCATTCAATATATTATTGTCTTAGATTTTTTTCAGTGATGAAAATAATACCTATTATTATCATTGATGTTCTTGACAGGAGAGACACTCCAAATCGGGTTAACTCAAAGTGACCTGCTGAGTCATCGACTCTTTTCTATCCGTGTGACCTCGATACAATCGTATATAAAATTCATAAAGATTAATAGACTATTTCTTTTTGAATACATATTTGATCCTAACATTTGATGATAATCAGACATTCAATCGATTATGTTTCTATATTTATCTCAAATAAATAATCAAAAGAAAATTTTTTGTTTTCTTATATTAGAATTATTAAATATTATATTTATTGATATAGGTTCAACAGCAATTAAAATGTTAAATGATGGTACAACAGCTATGCCATCACAAGCTATTGCACGATTGAAACAATCAACACAATATGCACGTGTTTTACCAATAATTGGTTTAAGTATATCATCACGTGGTGTTGAATTTTTAAAACATGCAAAAGATCGTATTGTTATATGTTTTCATGATATTAAATCAATACATTGTGCATGTCAAGATGAAGATTTACGTTATTTTGCTTATGTTACACGTGAACAACGTCTTACTCATGGTATAACACATGGAACATCAAATACTAATACTAATTCTATTCTTGATAATAAACAACAAACACCACCATCGCCATCATTTTCAATAGGTGGTGAATATCATCATTATTGTCATGTATTTGTTGTCAAAAGTGAAGCTATGTCAACTGAGGTATATGTTATTGAAATAAAACAAAAAATTTTAATTTATATATTTTTTTTCTTTATTTAGATTATGTTAACATTTGGTCAAGTATTTGATATAGCTTATCGACTTCATCGTCGTTTAAAATTAAATGGTAAAAAACCTAAAGATACACATTCATTATTATCATCTGTTAATAATGTTGAACGTCATCGTCAACTTGAAGTTATTCGTCTTTCGACTAAGTCTGATATTAAACATAATAATAATAATAATAATATTAATAATAATAATGTTATTATGTCATCATCAACACATTCACCAACAGCATCATCTTCATCATCATCGACGGATGATCGAAAAATATTTATTTAATAAAAAAAACCCGAAAAAAAAGAATAGAAATTCAAACATTGATTTCTAATTTTCATTGTACATGTGTGTGTGTCTTTCTATATATATATATATCTTTATTATTTTCTCCTAATGAGAAGACAACAAATTAATAAAATTTTAAAGAGAATCTTATATCTCATAGTATTCTAAGCAAAATATTTTATTTTTAATAGGAAAAGAAAAATTTTTCATTTAATTTATCATTATATTTTCTTTATTGAAAATGATAGTCGATTATTAGATTGTATCTGTCAACGAGAACGAATAGTTAGCCATCCGCTAAAATATGATGATAGTCGAAAGATTTTCGACCTATATGATGTAATAAGACTAGTAGATAAAAAAAGATGCTATATCTTTGGTATACAAGGACTCTATTCATCAGAATGTCATTGTTGAATATAAGTTAGTAATGGTGTTTAATCTATCTGATAAGCTAACAAAGAAATTAACTATGTTATTTTTCAAGTTCAAATAAAAATACAAATATGAATAGCATTCCTTTATGGGTTAAATAATAGTGCGTGGTTTTAAAGATATTAGAAATTATATTATTTAATTGAGACTTATGACGTAACGACGGAAAATATTATTTCGATTTATGATTAAAATTTCAATTTATAAATTATTAGAGATATTTTCATTAGAGAAACATTTATACCATTTATAATTAGTGACTAACAAGAACGGTGTGTTATATTCAAATGAAAACAAAAGTTTATGCTTTTGATTTAATTAGTTTGATTATTTATTCTTGTTTTATTCATATGAGTAAAACAATATCGTAGTTTGATAATAAAAAGCAACATGAACTAAGAAGCAATATATAGAAAAAGAATGTAAGAATACGTTTACTTGTTTATAGATAGTACACATCAATTTATTTCCCCTCCATCTCTTTTTTATCATTAAGCTGTTTTTGTTTTTTTGACCTCCTATATATATCGGGAGAAAGGCCCAAACGTGCTGCGTTTTATGATATATATATACTTTCAACAACAAATATAGTTTGCAGTATGAAGTGTCACTTTTTAATTAGAATTTATTTCCATGTCTATTATTCATATCACAACGTTTTTGAAATAACTTTTGACAGAAACAAGATAGAAATCTGCGGTTCTCATCATTCGAAAGAAGAGATAAATCTGCATCGAATCACTTCTTTACACGTTCATGGCAAGTTTTTTCAGAGTGTTGAGTCGCGTTTTCTGAAGAACATGACTTTCTTTCAAAAATGTAGCTCAAAACTCTAGCAAAGCTTGTCATGAATATGTAAAAGAAAATATTCGATGTAGATTTATCTCTTCTTTCAAATGATGAGAACTGCAGATCTGTATCTTGTTTCTGTCAAAAGTTATTTCAAAAACACTTACTCTTCTTCTGTTGTGATTATGAATAATAAACGTGAATGAAAATGGCAACAAAAAAGAATTAAACTTTTTTCTGTTAATACACTTTTCATACTTCAAACTGCATTTGTTACTTGATGTTAATATATCACAAAATACAGTGCGTTTGGGGCTTTCTCCCTATATATATATATATAGGATATTGAAAAACAAAAGAAGGCTCGTGATAAAAACGATAAAAAACAGAAGAGGAAAAAATCAATTGGCGCGCACTGTAATTTATGAATTAAAGAAAACTTTTAGTGACTTTTTTTGAGTTTAAATTGTCTTTTACATATTTGAAATAATAGCTATTGTTAGATAATCTATATCTAATTCATTTACTAAAGTTTTGATTTTCTATAAAATTATACTAGTATCACCTATAACGCGAACTGCCTTGTTATGATTATAATATTTTCATCGATAGCTTTTAGGAGATTTGATTATTCGTTTAATACCGTCTATTTTTCTTGTTGTTAACAGTTTAACAAAAGTACATAATGGAGTATTATCAGGTATTCTTCTTGTCAAAACACTACTCGTTATTTTTAATGTATATTCTGCTATAAATATTTTTGTCGTTGTTCAAACCCTAAAACTAGCTGATATTCTTGCACAGCCTGAGTCAGCGTATTTTAATATTTCAATACTTGAACAATATCTTAAATTTCTTATATTACATTTGAAAACTCACCAATGATTGCATCATGTTATTCAGTAAGTTCTTTTTTTCTATATTCGTTTAAAAAACCTTTTGGGTTAACATGATCTTTGATAATATTAGTTGTCATATGATTACTTGCTGATCCTCCAGCTGTTATTTAAATATCAACATCAGTAATAGCTGTTGATAGATCAGCTGTCAATGGTATGAGACTATGCATGTTATATTTGATACTGTGCTAATTATACTTGTCACTACATCGAAAGCGTTTTTTTCTTCTTTTCTACAATTTGTCAAATACATGTATCGATTTTTGCAATCAAATCGTTTGATTGGTAACACTTTTAATGCAGTTTTCTATATTGTTCCATAAGACATTTTAAACAATTCTAAAAACATAAATTCCAACAGAAAAGATATCCGATGTATAATATGGCAAATGTATGTGTGATGAGATCTATAAGTAAAATCTGATTTAGTAACGTAATCTCAAAGCAAATTTACAGAACACATTTATGAACTTGTTTTATCTGTAATACTATATAATCTTAAATATTTACTTTTGCCAAATAAGAATTTTACTTTTTTTATGAATCATACAGTTAATCGAAATATAGAAATGTATATTATCTTTTGTACAAACACAGAAGAAATATTTCTAATCCAATAATAAAGAATAACTTCGTATCTTGGTGATGAGACACAATCAGTTCAATATTATTCTTATCTTCATCATTTGATATATTATAGCTTGATTTGGAACGCAAAAAAAAAAACAGAATATGATACAAAGAGTGTATAGTAGATATGAGCAACTTCAACTGCGAAATGAAGTTGGTATTCAAATACTTTTTTTAATTAACTTCCATTAAATTACTTTTAACTTGAAATGGGGATAGCAGGTGACTGACGTTAACTATTTCTATCTTATACTAAATAAAAATTAATTTATGTTAAATTGACTTTTTGGTACAAACCAATATAAAATTGTTAACGACAAAATGATTATAGATTCTTATATATACATATATATGAAATAAATAATAAGATGAACTTTCTTGGGAATTGAAAAAAAAAATTATATGGAGTATACAGAGTAGTGATGATAGTTTTAGTTCCATTACTGACGTCAGTTCTATTGTATACGATCAAGCGAATTGGAGAGAAAAAATAGCAATTAGCACAATTTCTGTAGGATTAAAATATGAAATACAATGAGCCTACATATTTTGTACATCAAGGAATCCTGTAACGTGTGTTTCGATTTGCATTGATCAACGTATTGATATGTCTAGAAAGAAATATATCTTTCGTAATACATTACAATGAGTTTGAAAAAGGAATCCGAAGACAGATATCTTAAACTGTATTTTTTTTCATAATAATTACAAGGCTAAAGTGTCTATGCGATGAGTGAGAATAAAAGATATCGTTGGATCACATCATAAAATGTGTCAGCTTCTTACGTTTCATCCTCAATATGTTAGAAAGATACAGCATGAAATTATGCAAATTTTCATGTATGCATTATTCTTTTTTCTGAACGCAAAAAAAAAAAGAAATTTTGAAGAACTAAATAGTCTTAGGGGATCTATCAGATGTGGATGTTCTGGATAATACTTATGGAAGCAATAATTTTCTTTTTTGTAAATCAACTGTGACAATTAATGATGCAGATCGATATAGCTTTTCATGCTTTAGAAATTGAAATATTGATCATGTTTATTAATTAGTTTATACAGGGTCAGACGGGTACAACGTCATGCTTGTCTGGCCTTGTATAAACTAAATAATAAATATGATTAATATATCAATTTCTAAAGTATGAAAAGCTATGTCAATCTGCATTATTGGTGTTTATATTTAGTTTGCAAAAGAGAAAATTATTGCTTGTATAATTATGATTCAGAACACTTACAATTGATAGATCTCTTAAGACTATTTAGTCATTGAAAAAAGGTTTTTTCATTTAACAAAAAGAATAATGAATATACAAAAATTTGCATAATTTCATACTCTCTCTTTCTAACGTATTAAAAGAAAAATTCAAGAGCATAGAATGTTTACGAGTTTGTCCGAATGATATATTTCTACTTCAACACTCTTTTAAGATCCTAATCCACAAAAAGTGTTAGAAACGAAAATTTTAAAAACTTCTTTCAAAACATGAATTTAGATGCAACTAAATAGTTTTTCTTCAGAGTAAACTTGTTTTTCTATTATCATAGATTATCGAAAAAAACTTTTAGATTAAAATCTAATAAATCTTTATCAAACATTAAATTGAAACAAAACTTTATACGTATTTGACGTCTACTGATACAATCATTCACTAAATAGTTAAGACGATTAAAAAAAGCAAATCATACGACAATCCCCATAATATATTATCGTTCATCTTTTAATATATCTTCTTTCATAGCGATTAGTATCCAATATTTATATCAACTTAAAGTAACACTTCAAAATAAGTAATTCAATTAATCGCCTGGTATTCTCATCAAGACATTGACATAAAACAATCATTGGAAATTGTGTACTTTTGTAATCAATTATTTATTATGTTTCTCAGACATGTTTATCATTACATAACACTACGAATTGCTTTCTGATGTTTAAGATAGCTTAAGCAAACGGAAAAAATCCTTTATCCAAACAGTATATTATTCCTAAATTGCTCGTTTTCAATTGCAAAATACAAGTGAAAAATTATTTAAATATCAAAAAATAACAATAAAAGTTTTAATAATTTTCAAATTTGATGCATATTCCAAAAGAATACATTCGAAATTAATGAAATTCATATTCAATATTAGTGCATCATATACACGATATACATATATTTATTTTTTTGATATTTTCCTATCGTCTTTTAACATATAACATCAAAAGAAATGAACAAAACAAAAGAAAGAAAAACAAAT